ATGGATGGAATTGTCTTCGCAGATGTCCCATAAACCATTCTTTCATTTCCCGCTCCCTTCATTAATTTTCAATCCCCTCGTCAGGTCCACTTGTGGTTTGGTTTACGTGGCAGATTTATAGCGGCTACTGTTCGTTTTGCACCCACTGATTCTGGTTCCTGTCATGTACCATTTTCGTCTGTGTTATATTTGAAGATGGCATTATAAATAAGCAGCAGTCGGTTAGGACTCACATAAGATGCTTTGTTCCAAATTTATTGGTATTATCTTTCCTTTGGTGTTAACAAACCAGAAGATCGTGCTGTATGGGCCACACATGGTCTCTGCAATATTGCCTAGGGTTTATGCTTAGTTGTGAAACTTACAAAGATATTGAATGCACATTGGGAGTGGCCACCAGGAAAGCCAGATTTAGTAGTATCTTTGGGCCAAATGTAAATAGTGTGAAAACACATTACTGGATGGAATTCAAAATAGTTGCACATTTCACATTGTCGTGGACTGAAATGAAACTCAACCGTTTGACCGCCAGTAAAAATAATTTTGGGTAATTATTGTGATGGTTTTCGCTAGACTTCCACGAGCAAACAAAAATATTGATGCAAAATACATATTCAGTATAATTAAATAGCTACCGTCATCATAATAGTTACATAATTTGATAAAAGAGAAGTGAAGAACCGTTTTTACACTATTAGCTCATTTAAGCATATGGTGCTAGACATATATTTTTAGAGACCACTCTATGTATCAACATCACGCCAGTCGCCTTTACTTTGCAAACCATTTTCTGGTGCCACTTTCAGACATGAGTCGACCTCGGAAGTAGATCGTGGCATCATTTGAAAACCTCGGGATCGAGACAGGCGAAGACCTAACAAAAGAGTGTTGGAGAGTTAGGCATCTTTGCATGAAATACCCTCTGTATAAAAAACGAATGCGATGTACAAGACAGAAGGCTGTGTAGGCTGCCTTGACTGCCAACGCCACACGGCATGAATTATCAGAAAAAACATATCTCATTGCGAATAACTGATCTAATTTTTGACATTACACATTTGCTGCAAATAAGACCTGCCATACCGCGAGCCCTTGTGATGCACAGAATTGATTTAGCCAGAATATCCGCTATTGCAACAAGCGTCTAGACAAGCAAACGCCAGATAAATAGCCTTGTCTATCTCGATTCTGGCTATCCTGCGGGGACACAGGGCGTTGGGGGGAAAACATTCCATTCTGGTGTCAGCACTTGGTGAGCGTTGCTGTCTTCGGATATTTATTGCCTCGAACTTGACATGTCTACATTGTAAATCTGGAATCGCAACACTTGGATGTATCACAGATGGGGTTCTTGTGTATGTGTGTGCGAGCGCGTGTAACGAGGTTAACGGGGTACAAGTGCGAACTGTTGGGTCTTTACATATTCTTGACCACGACATACGATTTGGGGTGCCCAGTTCCCATCCTCATCCTCTATATTTCCCTGATAGCTTTTGAGAAACATTCCGAAGATACAGAAGACCCTCAGTATGTTAATTAGATGCGTTCCATGGTTGATCTCCTGTGGCGAGTAACTTGATTGCTGAAACTATTTTCTTATTACAATAATATAAACTAATTTTCATTCATTCCAGCCCTAAAAACTCACCCAGTTCGTTTCCAAGTGACGTTTTTCGTCTTGGACTCTAGTCTTGTTCTAGTGCGTGAGATTTCCCGTGCATATCTGTTTTACAGATCTGGATTATTTGTGTGCAGACTATCTGTTCCTTTCCTCTCAGGTAGATAAACGAATTCGAAGGAAACACCCCTAATTAGTCGCCTTCTTATTAGGTGCAGTGGGTTTGCTCCCTGCCCCTCCACCAGAATGGGGCCCGTAAACCACACGAGCAACCTAAAAACAGTTAATTGTAGTCCCTTTGGCACCCATTTCAACGTCTCACCCGTAGTTGGTTAAGACCCTCGTTAGTGGATATATCTTCTTCTTCTTCTTCGCGTTCACCAGCTGTACACTCTGGCGGAAAGTTCTGGTTGATCGTCCACTACTGAACTGCAGTCCTGCTCCAGAACCTGAGTGTTTTGTGTGCATCAGTTTTACAGATCTCATTCTCTTGAATACAGACTGTTGGTTCCTTGCCTCTCCGGCAGATGCACTCCGACTTCAAAGGAAGCTCCCCAATTAGTCGACTCCTGCGACATGCTTTTGGGGAGGCAGTGGGTCTATTATTGTTTTCCCCACAATGGGGCCCCGGAACCCACACGGGGGTGTGGATATATATATCCGTGACTGCCATGTCTTAAATTATTTTAATTTTAAATTAACTAAAAGATACGAAGTCCCGGAGTTCCCCGGGAAAGTCCACTATTCATGGGGTGTTATGGGTTTGTGCTTGGATTACGGTTAGCATCTTTGTCAGCCCCTAACGCCCCAGAGACACTGACTAACCTTAGGCGTAACTCTAACCTTAATTCTAAACCTAAACACTAACCCCCAACCCATAACATCCCTTGAATAATGGACTTTCCCGGGACCGCCGGGATTTTTTTTAAAATTTGGTGTGACTTAAAATTAAAGTACCCCTACCTACAATTATCGTGGAAAGTAAATCCGGGTAACAACATAACACAGCCAGTGTCCATTGATTTGTAACAGTATAAGTTTAGCTTCAAAGGCCGAGGCGCCGACGGTATGTAAAGGTTTTTTTTTTATGGTTTTACTTTTTACACAATGCTTCTTCTTCTTCTTTTTCTTCTTCTTCTTCTTCTCCTTCTTCGCGTTTACTGGCTGTAACCTGCGGCGGAAATTTCTGCTTGTTCGTCAACTTCTGGACTCTAGTCCTGTTGCGAAACTTGCGTGTTGCGTGCATATAAATTTTATTGTTCTTTTTAGTATGCAAACTGTTGGTTCCTTGCCTCAAGCAGATAAACTCCAACTTCGAATAAAGCTCCCACTTAGTCGACTCTTGTGACATTATTTTGGATAGTCGGTGGGTCTGTTTTTGTTTTGCCCCACAATGGCTTCCCGAAACCAACACGGGGATTATACGTAATTATCATTCACAGATGTTTCTATAATAATCTTCTGAGAATCACAGCTTAATCACAAGCCGGTCTTGGCTAAATCATTGCCACTGTCATCGGCAGAAATAAAACATTGGGAAATGATCGGGTATTCCCCTTGATTTCCTCCCCTACAAGTTGTGGCACATTGGCTGCGAGATGTACGGCAGCGGGCGTAGAGAACTGACAGTCCCTCTCATCTGTTTGTCATTAACACATCCGACCCCAATATTTCACCCCCGCCCGCCAGTTAGGCCCCCTGAGACTTTGGCTGTAACACAGCCGGGATCAGTTGATGGAACCATGCGCCCTCAGGTCTAGAGCCAACCCTTTTGTGCAGTAAGTCAAAAATGGAACCGTTTGTTGAAGGCGTTGCGGGGATACGGATTTGCTTTGATTCTCCTGCTCATCCTCCTCCTCTTTCTCTTTCTTCCTCTTTTTCTTCGTCATCCTGAACCCTTGAGATTCATTGCAGCATTTATCGCCAGCCTGCATTCATATCTCTGTGATTGGCCTTCTCTTTCCAATTGCTGATTTCAAGATTGATTATAGGCTGGCTATTATTTATGTATATATTTATTATGTATTAAATACATTACTCGGTTACCACATTGGAAGTAAAAGTGGCCTGCATTATGTGGATCAGATCACATATAGAACCTATACAACTTTAGGGCGAGCATTCAAATGCTGAATACGCTCCTGGCGTTTGGAAAGAAAAGATCCCTTTCTGAGTTTTAAAGGTACTTGTGTCGACCCATTCTTTTAAAATCTGAAGATGTCCATTTACAGAATTCTAGTTCACGACACTGAACATTAAAGTCTGAAGATGTCCATTTACAGAATTCCAGTTCACGACACTGAACATTAAAGTCTGAAGATGTCCATTTACAGAATTCCAGTTCACGACACTGAACATTAAAGTCTGAAGATGTCCATTTACAGAATTCTAGTTCACGACACTGAACATTAAAGTCTGAAGATGTCCATTTACAGAATTCCAGTTCACGACACTGAACATTAAAGTCTGAAGATGTCCATTTACAGAATTCCAGTTCACGACACTGAACATTAAAGTCTGAAGATGTCCATTTACAGAATTCCAGTTCACGACACTGACCATTAAAGTCTGAAGATGTCGATTTACAGAATTCCAGTTCTCGACACTGAACATTAAAGTCTGAAGATGTCCATTTACAGAATTCCAGTTCACGACACTGAACATTAAAGTCTGAAGATGTCGATTTACAGAATTCCAGTTCACGACACTGACCATTAAAGTCTGAAGATGTCCATTTACAGAATTCCAGTTCTCGACACTGAACATTAAAGTCTGAAGATGTCCATTTACAGAATTCCAGTTCTCGACACTGAACATTAAAGTCTTAAGGTGTCAGTTTACTTCATACTAATCAGTTTATTGCCTGTAGTGTCCATTTACTCAATTCCAGTTCAGACGACTACACGTTCAATTCTAAAGGTGTCAGTCAGTTTACGCCACTATTATCATTGTTTAACTTGGTATCTATTTGCCTTTTGTTCCAACCAAGTCATGATCTACACCATTGTTGTTGTTGTTCTTTAATCAGTTTACATAAAGTGCTAGAGGCAGTAAAATTATGGATTGTGCCATTGTCTACATGTGTCCGAGTTAAACATATATGGGAAGTAAAGACCATGTAATGACTACAGATCACCTTGGAAATCACCTGGGACCAGGACAGTTCGAAAGGAAGTGAGGAAGGAAAAGACAACACTTGTGATGCTGTAGTGTTTGACGAAATGTGACATGGAAACACCTGTACCAGAAATGGCTAAAACTAGATAAGATTAATTAAACAGGCCGTTTTGGACAAGTACAACGACCTACGATGTACGTCATTGATTTGTCATGACTACATTTATTAACACCCACCTAATTATTTCCTTCTTTATGTTTTCAGAGGGCATGTGGTCATTGTGCCTTCAGGGCCACCTAGCGATTCTTCAGCTTCGAGATGTCAAAGATACTGAATGGGTATGGTTGGTTATTTACGATACATGTTACATATTAGTCTGTGTCTGTGCTCTTGTTTTATTTTCCTCTTTCTTCCCCTCCTCCACGTTCCCCTCCTCCTCCTCCTCCTCCTCCTCCTCCTCCTCCTCCTCCTCCTCCTTCTTCTTCTTCTTCTTCTTTTTTTTCTTATTTTTCACCCGCTTCTTCTTGCCTCCTATTTTTGCTATATAACTGTTTTCCAGTGAATCCTTGGCTATTGCAGCATTACAACATTAAAGGAAATTAAGGAAAAGGCTACCTGGGGGAAAAATGAACAATACAAAACATCGGTTGTGATATTCACTTACTAGGAAATATTATGCAGATTGAGGCAGCCATTAGAGCTCCTGGAATACTTCTCACCTCCTCACAGAAGATTACGAAGTGGACATAACAGATTCCAGAAACACATTTAAAAAAATGAAGACAGTGGACCCATTATTTGGACAAGCACCAGGGAAAACTGAACATATACTGCATACATGCTCTCTACGTGCAGTAGATTAAACAAAATATCCTAGGTCAGACTAGATGGCATTCCGGTGGTAACCAAGCCGTATGAATCAGTGGAGGACTTGCGTCGCACCACAGCATGCATAGACCAGTGGCCTTCCCCAACAATCACTGGCAGTGAGAAGCAAGTAAAAAGTGTAATTTCCAGGGTATTACAACATATGTAGCTGTAACGAATGTCAGATGTAACTGGTGTCTCTTCGTCTCCGCCCAGCCATCAAATCAGGGTCTTCTTTTACCCTGCATTTCCATATTCGTGCACTTCAGGTTGGTTGAAATTGGTTTCTGAACAAATGCTCAATGACTTTTACAATGAAAATTGTGGGGAAGACTAGGCAAGTCAACAAATGCAAGATTGATTCTGAACAAATGCCCAGTGACTTTTACAACGAAAATTATAGGGAAGACTTATGCCAGTCAACAAATGTCCGAAGAAATCCTGTGTGTTTATCCATAAGACCGTTAGTAGCTCTGCTTTAAACAGACAACGGAAGTTACCTCATCACACGAAAGAGCTTTTGCATTGATACGAAATGACAATAGCCATTGTTGCCTATGAAGCAGTGGATCGCAGACTGCCCCTCCCCCCCCCCCCCTAAACCCCACCTAAACCCCACGTCGCCTATGGGCAGAAGTGGAAATTGATGATGATGATGATCAAATAATGACGAACCTTTAGAAGCCACCGGTTGCGCTTACTTCTCTGTTAGAATGTTACTACTATTAATATATTGTGCTGTCATTACTGCACTACAGTAGTCCAACAGTATAGTTATGCTTTTATTGATACTAGCTGGTTGTCAACATTATTATTAGCTGTGAAAATGGTACTACTACTAGTAGCAGCAGCAGCATTAGCAACAACATTAGTAGTAACAGCAGCTGAAACAGCAACAGTATTAGGATTTAAAGTATTAGGGGTAGTTGCAACAGCAGCGCACCAACACGAAGAGCCTCAGTTATTGTGTGCAAACGACTATTATTGCACTGTATGGCCATATTTCAGTCCACACCAAGTTAAAAACTCCATCATCGCCGCTATAATATATTCGGTTTACGCATGAAAGATCTGTACAGGCGATAAAGAAGGCGTAGACAGGAGGGGCCTGACACTGGAGGGTCGGCGGTGGCCAGGGAAGAGACACATTTGGAAGTCTAATCAGCGTTGATTGCCGCCAGCTGAGATTGGACTCGGGGCTATCGGGCGCAATTTTTCCAACCCATTGGCCTGACAGTTGTCCACAGTGCGGGGGTCGGGGGGGGGGGGGGAGGAGGGTGGTGCTCTGTCTCTCTCTCTCACACACACACACTCTCTTTCTCTCTCTCTACTCCTCTCACATATAGGGAAAAGGAGAGAGAGAGATGTCAATGCGTAAACCGGATGTTGGGATGTTGTTGGATCTTGGTACTTGATGAACCGCGATTAACATGTTGTTTTTATTCTCCGCATCAAGATTTTTTTTTTTTTTTACATAAAAAAGGGGAGGGGGGTGGACGAAAGGAAAACGGTGTTGTTTAATTATCCACGTGTTTGGAAACAGAATAGGACGGTGTACATGTGGGTTTTGGGGCCCGTAGAAACATTGTATATAATATAAAACAGGTTGATCCGCATCCATATAAAGAAGTAGAAAGCTAGTAAAACACTAGACAATATAAAATTTGAAAGCTATAGTTACCGTATAGGGGTGTTGAACCTGTCACCTCAAAATGGCGTGTACGCCTCGCCGTAGAAACAGGAGTACTAAGATACACGACCAAATGTTTATGTATGTGGAGAAAATGGTGCTTCGGGGCTTCACTAGGGAATCTGGCGGATATGTACCCACCACTCAGGGGAAAGGCAAGGCGGACATACAATAGGACTGCTGCTGGTTCTAATAGTTATGGAATTGCGCTGGCTGCTAAGGGTGGGGAAGGAGCGCTTACGGGCGTGTCCTGAGTGCCGTAAGTGCTCAGATCAGCTCCTGTGAGTTCCAGGCTCTACTCTAGGGGAAAATAAGTAGATTCATTGTCACCTTACAAGCATGTCGTAAAAGTCGACTATTATGGGATGGTTCCATCGCAGTCGGAGTGCACCTGCCTAAGAGTCGAGGAACCAACAGTCTACATACATGTACACCAGATTTACAAAATGGATGTACACGCATAACTCAGGTTCTGGAAAAAGTCCATAAGGGGACGAACAACCATAACTTTTCACCCGAGTTTGTAGCCGGTGAACGCAAAGAAAAAGAAATCAACTCAAAATAGTCAGTTCCACGTGGCATGGCGATGTCTCTTTGACAGCTTCTGTCTTCTTTGTTGATTCTGTGGGATCATCTCTAAGCCTGGCAGTAATTTATTCCACATTTTAAAGGTTTTGCTACATTGGTAATCTCTCAAGGTGTCCGAATGGCTACGGTTTCTCGCTCAGAACGTGGCTGTATTCTTCAGCGTCCACCTTGATCTGATTGATGTACCCAAGGTGAACGGGTTCATTCACTGGTCCTAGTTTTGTCCGTGTCGGTGACAACCAAAGCGTGACATTGACACCACTTTAATGCATTCTATAGACACTCAAGTGTTAGCTTTGCACCCTGGATAAATTTTGTGGAAAGTACTTTTTCATGTCGGCCCCACGTCGCAAAACGAACTCGGACGTCCCATAATAACCAAGCCACTTCAACTGCTATTATCATCTCTTCCTGTTAATTCTTTCCCTTGGCGGAATTGTATTCTGTGAGGTGGTTATATGCAGCAGTTGTTTCTTTAGCGCTGTTTGTGAAGTCGCTTTAATATTCGCGGCTTTCCCTGGGGCGAGTTTGCCCATTTTATGTCCATCCGTGGACGAAAGGGGAAAACCACAACACTGGCAGGGTACTTGTTGCTTTTAGCCAATCGTTATTGGTCACATATCACAGCAGAGCTAACTTTATGATGACCAGTCCTGAAACAGGCCACTTCATCACACCGCCCTTTGTTGACGACGGTGACAAAAAGTCCGTTTGACCCGTGGAATGAGCCCGTTGGGCAAAACTTGTCCTCGCCCTAAGCGGGGTCAGCAATTGTCCCTTTCCGCGTCAGAAAAGGAAGCCCCGGTCTGTATACAAACCAGAACAACCACACCCCACCAGGAAGTGGCGACTTCAAGAGTGGTCTGGAGTACCCCGGCGGTGATTCCCATTTTCCGGGTGTCGAGAAGACAGCGGCTTGGACGTGCAGCAGATGTGCCTGATAGAACGATAGCAGATGGTGTGAAGAGAGGGTATCGCTTGCCCCAGTATGACGTCCACTGTTTCTAGTTTACGTGACGTTTCTGCGGAGAAAAGGCTTGGGAGACAATCTTGTTAAACTACCGGCAGATTCCCCATACCACGGCCATCCAGCAAGGTTTAGTAGGACATTCACTGGAGAATATGAGAGGTTTGATTTAATACCGTGGGCCGTTTAGAGCTGTTCTCGGAATCAATGGGCGTTCAAAGTGTAATCAAATGTCAGCGGATAAACGGATATTGATACTGCTTCTTCATCTCCTTCCTATTCTTCCTTCTCACACTACTAATTTCCTTTCTCTCCTCCTTCATATCCTATTCTTCACCTCCCCTCCTCTTTCTTTCCCGGCTCTCCACTCGTATTCCTTCCTATCATCCTTCTTTTTCTACCTTTTCTTCTTCTTCTTCTACGAAGAAATATCCTCTCGAATATCTATTAATCTATTTTTTTTAATGTCTAACACCGTATGCCTAATACGCCTGATCCTTCGGAGTCGGAGTCCATCAGCCTGATACAAGGAACCAGCCGTCTACATAGAGATAAGTCAGACCTGTAAACCGGATGTGCATGCAAAACTTAAGTTCTGGAGTAGGACCAAAGTCCCGAAATGGACGAACAACCAGAACTTTACACTGGGTTTTTTTAACAGCTGGTGATTACGAAGAAAGAAGAAGAATAAGAAGACGCCCAGACAGAAAAAAACCTCTTCAACACGAACTAGTTAATACGAACACTTGGTTAACACGAACACAGGTTTAGTCCTAGAAGGGATTTATTATTGTTATCAGTCCCCGGATAGAACTAGATTTACGTTTTCTTGAAATTCGTGCTAACGAGATGTTACTGTACTTATATTTTTACTTCTCCGGATTAAAACACACTGATGTCCGTTTTTAACCACCACCGCATGTGTCTGGTTATTTAACCCCGTTACTTGTTATTTTCACACGGTCAAAGATCAGAGATCTGGCCCTGAGGAGCAGCCAGCCCTGCAGGACTGTGTTTGTGTGTGTGTGCGTTATGTGCGTGCGTGCGTGTGTGTGTGTGGGGGGGGGGGTTGCGGTTGCAGCATTCGACCCGCAACCACCGGCCAGTTTCTGTGTGTGTGTGTGTGTGTGTGTGCATGTGTGTCTTGTGTGTCTTTTTTTAAAACAAACTCACCTTACAAAACCCAGATCGTGTTGTCGAGGCACTTGGTTGATATATTAGACTTT